GGGGGGGGGGGAGGGGAGGGGAGGGGAGAAGGGGGGAAGGGGTAGGTGGCGGTTGGAGCTCCGGTACTTGCCTGCGTGACAGACACTCTCCGGCTCTCGCTCTGGTCGCCATGAGCACTGCGTCTCGTCCAATCTCGTCCAATCTCGTCCAATCTCGTTCCTGGGCAGGTACCTGACTCCTTCCGGGTACGACATCAGCGGCCGGGGCTGGGGGCTGGCTCCTGACCGAGTGTGCACCGACTTCCCCCGAGGTGAGGTTGGGGGGGCCGGGGGGTTGGGGAGTCTCGTGTAGCCCGTGTGCGTGTGTGTATTTGTTACATATCGATCCGGGCCTGACGCTGGCCAGGGACACCTAACAGTATACCCCAACGGGAATGAGCGACCGCTGAAGCACTCTCCCTCGGCGGGGGGAGGAGAGGGGCGTGAGGGGCCACACTCCCCTCCTGCCCGACCGAGGGCGTGCAACGCCCCCCCCCGCGTTTCCCCCTCTTGTCAAGAGGAAAGAGAGCGCGGTGGCTACGAGGGCCCTCAAACAACCAACCTCAGCAACCGTGGCTGCGCCCCCCGAAGGGTCCTTCCACAACACCCGGGCGCCCCCCTCCTCCCCCCCGTGATGAGGGGCCGCCCTGCCGGCGGTGGTGCCGTGAGCCCGGAAGCCGAACCCTACAACCAAAACTGACCACCCTACGTCCCTCCTCAACGAACTACCGGGCAAAATCCAAGCCACGCAAAGTTGTATCAGGCCCTGTGTGCGCGTGTGTGTGTGTGTGCTCATGTCGATGACGGCCAGCGTTCCGGGGAATGGGGGGCGAATTATGAATCCAGGAGCTCCCAAGACCTCCAGGCCGGGTTGGCGGGAAAGAGAAGTTCCCCCCCGATTCCCCACCGGGGGAAACACACTTGTGCACGGACGGGGCGGGAGGGAGGGGGCTCCAGCAGCACGGGGAGGCTCAAGGTGGACTCACCTGTGTTTCTCACCTGACCTCCTCCCCCCCCCCTGCGCTCCTCGGGGGCCTTCAGGGCTCGGGGTTGGCCAGGTGGGGCCCTCCCTCACTTCCCCGCAACCAACCAACCCCTCAACCAACCAACCCCCTCAACCAACCCCCACAACCAACTCCCTCAACCAACCCCCTCAACCAACCCCCTCAACCAACCCTCTCAACCAACCCCCTCAACCAACTCCCTCAACCAACCCCCACAACCAACCCCCTCAACCAACCCCCTCAACCAACCCCCTCAACCAACCCTCTCAACCAACCAACCCCCACAACCAACCACCCCCCTCTGCCGCCCAGGTGAGCTGCCCACGGGGCTGCAGCACTCCGACCAGTGCATTCGCCTGGCGGCCGCACTGTTCGCGGAGAAGTCATGAAAGTGAGGGGCACCGAAGGGGCGATGGGAGAAGTGTGGAGCTGCGGATTACCTGTTACAGAAAGCAACAGCAGCAGTAACAGCAGCAGTAACAGCAATACTGGTGGTAGTGATATTGGCTACAGCTGCAGCTACTGCCGCAGCTTCTGTTTTGTTCGCTGCGGTGCTAGTTGACCTAGTTGACCTATTTTTGCCTGTGGGAAAGGGGGAGAGGGAGGGAGAGGGACAAGGCCAGCTGCGGTATGACGGCGCTGGTGTGGTGGTGCTGGTCCGTCCCCCCCCCCCCGCCGCCTCGAGGACGCGGGAAGTCGCATCCCTCCATCCCGTCACCCCCGTTCATCAGGAGGGGGGTTGGGGGTGCGGGGGAAATGAACACACCCACAATGCGAAGGGTCACCTCGAGCCGCGGGAGGAGAGGAGAAAACGTAAAGAGAAGAAAAAAATATCAATCGTAGCGAACAGCACAACATCGTAACATTAGTCTTAAGTATGGCTGGCATTGCATCGTCGTGGTCATCATCGTCGTTATGGTCGAGTGGTTAGTGGTCGCGGCACCAGCCAGGGGGGGGAAGTGGGAGGGGGTCTGAGGGCCCCTGACGGTTAGGACGCCCCACTCCCACTGTACGGCACCACTCTGTCCTTTCCCCCTACTTGCCGTACACAGCTCTGTCCCATCAGCCCTTTCCGCGCATCGCTGTTGAGATAAGGCTGTACCAGGGTACCCCTGGTGGCGGTGTACCTTTGGTGACGGTATTTTGTTTTAGTTTTGTTGTGTGATGTCGCCATAACCACCACCGCCGCCATGACCACCACCGCCGCCGGCAGTAGCAGGGGCAGGAGGACGAAAATGGGTTTAGAGCTGTTAGAGCTGTGTGAAAGTAACGGCCGCTGTTGGGGCGGAATTTAAAGGCGGCGGTGATTGAGGGGAAAGGGGAGGAGGAGGAAGCAAAAGGAGGCGGCGAAGAGGAACTGCTCGTGCACGTCACGGACGTCACGTCACGGACGTCCGGGGGTTCGGATGTGGCGAGGCTCTTCCTGAGGTCGGGAGCTCTGGAGGGAGGTGTGCGGAGGAACTGAAGGCGGCCTGCGGACTTGAAGGGCAGCGAGCAGAGCAGGGCGCGCGCTTTTGCAGGGGGGGGGGGACGCGCCCCAAGCGCCCGGATTGGCAGGTAAGGGCGGAAACACGGCCCATCTTTGTCGTGTTGTACATTTGTACGGCGGCCACGTCAGCAGTATACTTTGCTGTGTGGGGGTTGGAGGCGCGCGCGGGAGGTGCGCAGCTGCCCATGCCCGTTTGTGTATTTGTAAATTTTTGTAATTTTATCAAGTTGGGATTACGGCGCTATGTAGTTGGAACAGTTAAAATCACGTAAATTGCATCACGGGATTGCGCCGTACATCGCTCTGCTGCCGGTGCTGTCTTGCTATTGATGTTGTTGTTGTTATCGCCCTGTTGTAGCCGCCCGTGACGGCCCGGTAGTCAATTTATTTGTTTCAGAAGGAGTGGAGGAGGGGCAAAGGGTGGAGCAGATGGTGCAGGATTGACGTGTGGTGGGTGTACGACGTATCTGATCATGTAGATTACATGACATGACAGCACAGCGCGGGGGTGTTCGCCGCCCGCCATCTGGATCTCGTTAGCGCTCAACCAGTAGCAGTGTAGGGGCGGCACCTCTTTTGCCGTACCGTGCATTCTGGGGGATGTCCTCATGGCCCCTGGGGTATGGGCAACTACGGCGGGGAGGTGAGGAGGCGGGAGGAGAGGATGACGACATTGGTGTTAATGTTGTTGATGATGGCGATGAACGAAATTTACTTCAGGAGCCTCCAGGTGTCTCCTGCAGTCTCACGCAGTGGATGGAGAGGATGTGAAGGAGCTCCTGACGTGTCGTCTACCAGTCGCCTCTCGGGCACCCCCCCAACATGCACCGGGGTCGCCGCCTCCCTTTAAGGAGGAGTGGGTGGTGCTGCGGCTAGTCGGGCAGCACCGCCCATTTCGCTCCTCTGTCTGTCTGTCTGTTTGCCTGTCTCTATTTTTGACGATCGTCTTGGTGGTGGTGTGGGGATATTACATATCAGCCAAGATGCCCATATCACCGCCACCTCCCCACTCGGTTTGAGTTTTGGGACCGTTAGCCCCATTCAGGGATACTGTTATTGGCTATATGTCTGTGGGCTGTAATGATCGACGAAAGCATTGGCAGTTTTTAGATGTGCTGCTCGCCCCCGTTGTAATATAGCCTGGTGTCCCAATATATATCGGAAGCTCGTGCAGCACACCACCACCACCACCAGACACGGCGCGAAACAATCCGGTCCTCCAGCTGCCTTCCCGACATCTTCTCATCTTCGCAGGATCTTCACCACGTAGCCGCTCGTCCCGCAACCGTTCAGCATTTACAGCTCATCATGCTGCCACCGCACATGTTTGCGCTTGATCCACATGCTTCCACCCCCAAGCGCAGGAAGACCAGGAAGACCAGCGCGCCACCTTGATGAAGCAGTAAGGTAGCTAGCTATACACACACAACCCCTCGGCGGTCTTGCAACAACTAAATGCTAATCAAGGTGTTGCTTAAGCTTTGAAGAACCCTCCCGCGGCGCACCTTCTCGACTCGGTGACAGAGTGATGCAGTGCTTGTATTGATATGGAAGACTAGCGTGAAGCAAAACGTATCGGAGCAATGAAATCATTCCACCCATCATCATTCCCGTCGTTGTCATTGTCATGAGCAGCAGTAAGGAACGCAGCGCGGCTCCTCACCAACCTCACAGGACCGCAGCAGCAGTCCTCTCCACGGCTCTCAAACCCCACACAAACCTACCTACACATCCCCCATCCCCATCATCCGCCCCAGCTCCCGTTTCCATGTCATCCTTTTCCGCTCCAATCCCCGCCACCACACACAGGCTCCTCGTACGATCCCGCCGCCGCCTCTTGCCGGCCCCCCCCGGGCAGTTAGCTCCTCCACGCCTCGGGTGGTTAACTGCTCCCCCCCAACACACATACACTTGTCACAGCGACAAGCACCTTTCGCCCCAGGTCTCGAACCCTCCAAGCTCTAGTACTCTATCGCTGCGGTCGAAGCTGTCAGCCGTCCACAAATGATGGCAATTCACTTCAATGCACCCCCCATCCATTTCACACATGCCATGACACACATGCCACCCCTCACTGCGCCAACGAATGATTAACGGAAGCGAAGCGGTTGAAGGTAACGGAGGAAACACGGAGGGAGGAAGGAAGTCCTCACCTCCTTCCTTCCGCCGTATCATGTCGGTCATGTCGCCCACCCCCGCGTGTTGTGTCCTACGCTCCTGCGCCCACCCCGCCTACCCGACCTGCACCGGTTTCTTCTTTTCGAGAATAACAAGACACCCCCACCAGGAGGAACCCCAGTCCTTCCTCCCGTCGTGCTGCGCTGCACCGCGTGTGAATCCCTTCAGGTCCCACAACAGACACAACATGCACCAGAACACACAAACACAAAACCACAAAGAACAACCTGGGTTGCCTCAGGTTGGATGAGACGACCTCGCCGATAGACCGAGACCGGGCTCAAGAGCCGTCACACATCGACGGCTGCGTGACAGAGCCGCTCAACACATGTAGTGTTATGCCTATTACAACAACGAGGTCCAGAACGCAAAAGGAATGAACGTCGAGCATATCCCCTCGCCGTGACCCCCCAGGGGCAAAAGCCCTGAGCCAACACGCCGCTCCTTGCTTCCCACCCTCCGGCCCTCGGAGCCACCCCAGTACAGTACAACAGTGCTCAAACTTACGCAAAAAATGCTCTTCTTAGCTAAAACTAGCGAAAATCGTACCCAGTAACACCAAGCATTTGCAGGAGCTTACGAGACCCTGGACCCGCTGCGAGTGCCCAGCTCTTCCCCACCCCTATTGCCGGGCCTCTCCTCCTTCCGCCGCTGCGGGCCACCCGGCAAATAAGTGACTGGTAAACTGGGAACGACAGCGGTTCCGGCCGCCGCCGACCGAAAGCAAGCGTGAGCCGCAGCTTCTCCACACGACATCAGTGCGCGTCGTCCACGCGTGCCCATCAAAAAAGTAGCAGGCACATAATGACGAAGGAGCCCAACATTAACAGGAGCCGCGAAAGAAATGCCTGAAAGCAGCAGGAATATCGCAGCCTCGTGTAGCCCAGCTGAAAGGCCTGGCCAAAGGCAAGATACACATACAAAATCGCACCTGATGTTGCTGCTCTGGCGTGAGCGCCTCGTTGTACCCTTGGCCGGGTCCCAAGTGAAAGCCAAAAAGCGAAGGAAAAACTCCCTGTTGTGTCTGCCCGGGGCTGGCCGCCTGCGATAAACGGGGCGAATACGACCTGACCGAGCTGAAGGCGCGCGAAACAGCCAAATACGAACACCAGTCCTCGATGATGCATACCGGCACTGGAACAGGACGCTGCCCAGCTGGCCGTGGCGGCACAGGCTTGACCGCCTCCTGCACCTTGCTCGCCGGCTCGGAACCTCGCCCGTATATTGGCACCACCTTATCGATTTCCACTCCCGCTTTGCAAACTGGGCACGCCCTGCTGCACGCCTGTACTTGCATCCACCTATTCACCAAGAAGCTTGGATCAACGGCCAAGTCACACACATTTCCACCCTTCAACCGATAACCGCACCTGTACAGACACGGCCAGCAGAAAAGGTGCCCGCAAAGAGTTACCACAGGCTCTTTTGCTAGCTCCAGGCAAATATTGCACTCGAAGGCTGAGCTGTCCCCTTCAGAATGGTCATCCGTGGTCACGGCTTGGGCACAAGCTGGTTTGCTCAGGTTATCCTCCGCAACAGTTCCCACAGCCTCATCCTGTGAGGCTTGTGGCGCAGCTGCCTGCGGCTGTTCTTGGGGAGCCAGCACAGCGCTATCGGCAGCGCTTGCCATGCCGCTATATTTTTTCAAATACCGTCTACACTTGGATGAAAAGCAAAATAATGCAAGCCCTCAGGGCTCAGGGGTAAGCTCTTAGAAGGTTTCTGCAAACCTAATCTGCAAGGCGAGACGCTTAACAGTCTGTCCTGATATTTGTAGGTTCAAAGCGCAAAAAGCTATTCACGGATTATGCTCATAACGCTTAACCTTGGCTAGGACTGCGGACAGGTAAAACCTTTTGGGGCGCTCATTCCGTCGTACTGATGATGCACAAGACGCTGATGCCTGAACCTAGGTAGGGTCCTTTTCATTATTTACATTCCGTTACCGCGCAAAACTGCAGCTGCAAATGGCAAATAAACCCCAAAGGGCATCCGTACTGTACTTCATAGCGGTAACCGCATTCAAAGTAAAGTTCCTGATGCAAGCACGTCAACCTTTCCTCACCTGCATACACTCAAGAAACGCTGGACCCCTATACGACGTGCAAGGTCTCCAAGCGACCGCCCCAAATCGTCACGTGCCTCCAGGCAGTACAAAACATGCCAGAACCACATTTCGGTTCTGGAGCAGCTCCACGCACCCCTGCCCCGACCAACGCAATCCAAACACCCGATCAACCACACGCGCTAGCCTGGCCTCCCGCCCCTCGCCCTCCTGCCACCCCGTACCCCACTGCTGCTGCTGCTGCTGCGGTTGCTGCGGTTGCTGCGGTTGCTCACGCCATGCCCCCCCACTCTCCCGCATCCCCCCTCCACTTCCACTCCTCCTCCTCCTCGTCCCTGTCACGGACCCATTCCGCTCTACCGCCATTGCGCCTCCCTCTCCCCCTCTCCACCCGCCTCTAACCCCCTCCTCCTCCCCTCCTACGGAGCCACTACACCCACCCACACCCATCTCGCTCTCCACCGCCACCGCCTCCACCGTCACCGTCACCGCCGCTGTACCACCCGCACCTGCACCTGCACCCGCATCCAACCTGCCTCGCCCCGACAGTCCCGCTACGCCTGCGCCTTGCTGCCGCTCCCCCTTCTCCCCCTTCTCTCGCGGCTGTAGCGGCTGTTGCTGTGCCAGCAGCCCTGGCAGTAGCCAGCAGTGGCAGGGCTGTACGACCAAGGCGGGTCTCGGCGCGCCATGCAGCATCATAAGGGCCTTATGCGACCACGGCACGGTCAGTGCAAAGACCAGCAGCGCAGGGGACGGAGCGCCGTCCAGCAGCAGCGCGGCCAGTCGGTTCCCCTGCGGTGTGGTGGGGTGTGGTATGGTGTGGTGTGGTGTGCTCATTCATGTCGGGACGGGAGCAACAGTGCAACGCTGAAGGGATAACGGTACAACGGTACAACGGTATGATGACTCCGTTAGATTGGACGCGGGAGCAAACATCCAGGCCGCAGTCTCCCCCCATATCACCCACATCACCCCGGCCGCCCCCCACCCACCCCGCAGCCACCGCCAGCCAACGTGAATACCAACGGAACCACCACCACCACCCCCGCCTTCCCCACCACCGCCATCTCCCCCCACCTCCACCCCAACCCATTGCCCAACTTATTCCGTACAACCCCAAAGAAGCCCAAGGGCGTAATACCCCCCCAAACCCGCCAAGTCCCAACACACACACACACATACGTACATACACACATACGTACATACAATAGCAAATTACGGGAGAGCCTCCCCCACCGCCACCCACCTGCGGACTGAACTGCAGCGCCGCCACCCCCGACTGGGACAAGCCCCGGAGCAGACACGGCAGCTGCTGCTGCTGCTGCTGGGGTCCGGAGGGCCGAGCGGGAGGGTGAAGGGGAAGGGGAGGGGGAGGGGAGGACGCCGCAGTAGTAGCAGTAGCAGTAGTGGCAGTAGTAGCAGTAGCAGTAGCAGTAGCCGCCAGAGCGGCTGACGAGGACAGCGATGACGAAGACGGCCAGGGCCCCATGGCGCCTAGAGGCCGCCAGGATGAGGACGAGGTAAGGGAGCAAGTGGAGGACGCGGCGGACCTCAAGGCAGCGGCGGAAGGGCCGAAGCCGCCACTGCCACCGCCACCGCCGCTGCCGTCAGCACCAGCACCAGCACCACAGCCATTGCTGGCGCCGCTGGCGGCTGCGGACGCAACCGCAGTCGCTGACCCCAATTGTGGTGGTGTCGTACATAGCGGTGCCATGTCCCCCCCCCAGGTCGGCGGCGATGGCGGAGCCGCCGGGGGGGAAAGCAGCAGCGCGTCAGGTCCAGGCTGCAGAGGCAGCTGCCACGTGGCGTTGCCGTACTCCAGGTCGTACACAGTGATGAACTGGGGCTCGCCCGAGGGTGAGTTGGCGGCCAGGGGCGGAGCCACCGCGAGCTGTGCGTGTACGGGGGAGGGGATGTGTTGACGGTCCCGGTGATCAGCGGAGGGGAGGGGGCATTGCGAATACGGATGTCGCTGAGGCGGCCGGGGGGAAGTGGCGGGTGACCAATAGTGGCCTGGGACCTGCAGCGGTCTCCCGGCCATCTCCCGGCGACACGGCCCGCTAAGTAAAGAAACAGGAACTAGCTGCCGAGTCCAAAGGCGAAACAGCGAAATGACCACCTAGACGCCGAGATCACAAGAGTAAAAAAGCGAAAAAGCAAAGGAGCCCGTAGCAGTAGTGGTAGTACCAGTAGCAAAAGGTCAGGCGGCCAAAGGCGGAGAAGAGCAAAGGCTAACGAAAGGTGTACGCCGACCTAGCGGCGGAAGTAATGAACGATATTATTTTGCACCACTTATCTGCTGCTGGCAAGCTGCTCGCTGACATGCATGCATGTGTTCCTCCCAGCCCCCCCCCCCCTCCAGATAACACGGCCCTGGCCCGACCAACCCGACCAACTCGACTCGGCCAACCCGACCAACGGCACCCTTCCCCCGGTGCGAAGGGGACGGGAGGAGGGAGCACAACACCGCGAGAGGGGAGGGGAGGGAAGGGGTTGGAACTAATTACCAGCTGCCTCTCCCACCCACTCGACCATCCGCGGCTCCAACAGAGGCCACACTACTCGCTCCCGATTCATGTACGTACATACATACACACTCTCTAGCGGAGGACGGGAAGATCGGGAGGAGGGGGGAAGGTGCCACAAACACCGCCCCTGCGGCGTACGACAACGTTACCCAAAGGCCAACAAACCAAAGCAGAATCCTCCTCCCGGAGCTTAATCCCGCTTCCACCCTTCGCTCCCCACCACATGCATACACACACACACACACACACACACACACGAACACGCACACACCTGCATGCTAGCGGCGTGAAGCGCCGTACACGGCAACACGGCCGCCAGGTCCGCCGCCAGCAGGTAGGCGGGTCCCGTCAGGTCAGGCCGTCCTCGTGCCGCCGGCGCCGCCAGCGCCCTGGCCAGCCCCGCCCCCAGCGCGGGAGCTGCGGCCGCCAGCGCGCACCTCCCCGGCCGGGAGCGGGTGAGGCGGGAGAGGGCAGCGCCCACCAGCGGGTGCAGGGGCAGGGCCTCGGCTGCTGGACGGAAGGGGGGTGACGTGTGAGGGTGGGGTGTGAGGGTGGCACGGTAGGTCCACATGAGGGTGGTACGACAAATGGGCGAAGTGGGGGCCCGTGTGCTGCAATCCGCAGCGAAGCTGAGGGCTGGTTGTGGTGGTGGTGGTGGTGGTGCAGGGCAGGATGCCGCAGACCGAGTTACGGCACGAGTGCGGCGCCGTACACGGAAGGGAGACGTGCGCGCCCTCTCCCCCCCCCACCTCTCAATTCTCCCCCCTAAAGCCGCCTCTCCTCTGTGTTTCGTGACCTGACCAACACCCCCAACAACGGAGGATGTTGTGCAAGTGCCTTGGCCAAACCACCTCGCACCGCCTTCCATGCTTCCCTCCCCTCCCCACCCTCTGATGGCCACCCTGTTGTTACCCCACCCCCTCCTTCTTCCCCCCACCCCACCCCCCTTTCCCCCCTTTCCCCCAACCTCCGCACCTCCAGGGAATCTGGACAGCCCCTGGAGCAACCCCTCCATGTCCAATGTAGCCACCGCCGCTAGGAGCCGTACAGTCTGGTCCGCCAAACGCTGTGCAGCCCGCTGCGGAGCGGCGGCGGCGGCGGCGGCGGCAACGGAGGGCTGCGACGACAGCCACGGCAGCGGCGGCGGCGGCGGCGTTTGGTGAGAGGCTGTGTGATGGTGGTGGTGATGCTGGTGGTGGTGGTGGTGGTGATGTGAATAAAGCGGAGGAAAACCGTGGCGGCCGCACGGCATGGTGGTGGCGACGTCGACGTCGTACGACGTGGAAGTGCCGTACGATGACGGATCCATGGCACCTGGCGGCGGAAGCGGAATCACCTGGATAAGGTGCAATAGCCTGCGCGGACATACATACATACACACACGGAAACTGATGTCAGGGTTGTTGTTACAATATTCATCGGACCGATGCCAACCCGTAAGACACGGTACACTAGATTTATGGCAGGTGGCTGGCAGAGGTTAAGGCCTGACTTCTGCTCCCGGAGATCCTGAGTTCAAATCCGCCTGCCGACTCCTCGGTGTGTGAGGGGTGATGAAATGGGAGGTGGCCCCCCATCTAGAGGACGGTGTAGGACGTGATAAAATCAACTTGCGAGCTGACCAGGAAGTAAGTTGAGGCGCCGTTGATCCGCTAGATTTGGTTGGATGCTGGTGGTGAGTTGCCGAACCCAACGAATACACTCTCAAGTCGGATGGCGTAAATGGATTAGGGTGCCCCTCTCGCACGGGAGAGCAGGGAACTGCCTCCAAGGGAAAGGGGGCCGCTGGTGAAGCTCCTGTACCACCCTGTAACGACATACATACACACCCAGGAGAGGGCCTTCCTTGCCTTCCGAGCAGCGGCAGGAGACGTACTGAGCGCGATGGTGGGGGCATTA